AAATACATAAAAACGGATTCTAAGAATCCGTTTTTCTTAAAAAAAAAAAAAAAATTAAATAGAAAAAACGGATTGCGAAAATCCGTTTTTTAACCAAACTCGGATTTATTTAAAGTTAATCACTTAATTAAATAAAAACGAGATTAATTAATGAAAAACGGATTATCAAAATCCGTTTTTCTGTCGGGATTAACGAAAAACGGATTCTGAAAATCCGTTTTTTAGGGAAAAACGGATTTTCAGAATCCGTCTGTTTTACTTTTGTCCACGATTCATTTTTTTTTTTATTTTTTTCCACAGATTTTTTTTTTTTATATAAATAAATGATTCATAAAGTTGATGTAATATAAAAATAATAAAATAATAATTGATTAGACTAATAATTATGAATTTTTTGATTCAATAAGTTGTACTTAATTTTTTTTTGGAAGATATATAACAATAATTATTTTTTATTAATAATTATATTAGTGAGGTTGTAGCTAGCGAAGAGAAGTAAGATAAGATGAATAATATCTTTTATGAAAATAAATATTTTATTACATGTATCAAATAGTCAAATTTGACTAGAAAAATACAAATGATAATTTTTTCTATCCAATCACTATTAAACTTTTGTATGAAACAAACTAATCGTTAGGCGAATGGGGACGTTATATTTTTTAATAAAAAACATACTTATGTTATATATGAAATATGGGGCACATTAAAATTGTCATGTATTGAAATTATGATTTTTAAAAAAAAAATAAATAAATAAAATACATGTTAGTGTGTGTGGGTTTGGCTTTTTATGACAATAATTTATAATATATACTAACAATCTCCTTTTTTATATGTTTGTAAAAATAAAGCAGGTCAAATTAACTAAGCAAAAGTTAAACAATATCTAAATTATTACAACTTGCTTAATAAAAATATGTATTTTATCTTTCCTCTAATCTTCTCTACAATATATATACATAAAAAGTCAAACCCACAAACACGCTTAGTGGGGGACACGTGCCCCCAGTGCTTCCACCTGGATCCGCGAGTGTGAAATATCATACATTTTCTTATATTGTTTTATAATACGATATTTTAATTTGAAAGTACTTTTAAACAGTGATACCTAGACAAAATAATTTCATAATAGCAAATCGGAAATTTTGATTATGTTGTACAGGGTGAGTGTATTAAATTTGTTGAATAATGACTGTTAAAATATATTTAATAACCAGCCATGCATATTTAGTGTTTTACGTGCATTGACACTAGTATTTTAAGTGCTTACTGAAAAATGGACGTCAAATTTGGTATCCAAAATTTTAGAAAGCTTTTAATGGTATTAATCTTCCTTTTTCTGCCAGAAGTACCATTTTTCACTGAAAAGAGCAGAAGATACAGTAAATTTCTACAGAGAGCCTGCATATTTTTTACTCAGCATAAATAACTATTTAATGAAGGGCTTGTAAAATAAAACTGGAAAACTGATCCTGCAAATTTGAGAATAATAACTAGACCTGTATTTATATATGAATTCTTAGGCTGTTGATGATTGGATTAGGATCAGAGGCCAATAAACAAATGTATATGTATATGTACCATATATATAGTAATACAAACATGCATATAAACTATAAAGCATATATAAATAACCATCTATGATTTATGAATTGGTGTATTGACAAATATTTTGAGATATTTATTTTAAACCACGTGTTACTATGTTATTTATAAACAACTGAGTTAGTTCCATAAACCGTATAATCGGTGACTTCATAACAAAACTAATATATAAAAAAAGGGAATAAATGTCTAAAATAGTCGGTGGGTTTCTCTTTAAAAATAATTTGCATCAAGAAAATTTGGCCATTCCTATTTTTGACTTTTCTTCTTTTAAAATAAATATCTTGATGTAAATATTCATGTTCTTTCTTATTAAATAGTTATAATATTTTTTCTACTTATTCTCTTCTATTGTTTTGAATCTTCTTTTAAAGTATAGTAATGTTTTGATTTATTTCCATTTTTGTGAAGCACTACCTGCATTATTGTTTTGACACCCTCATTTCATATATTAAAAAAATATTGTCTATATCTCACAAAATAAATATATTTTTATGTATCAATATAAATTCCAGACCAATAAATTTCTAAACTTTTGAAATGACATACATTTATTTTTATCTTCTAACCACATATCATATGGTAATAATTTTAATATGTATATACATATAAAAATGATAATGGCATTTGTTAATATATGTGGCTGTGCTTACACAAACGGGGTTTGGTTTATTAATTATTATTATTGTTGTTATTATTATTATTAGAGGTCATTTTACTAAGTAGGTGATGGATAAACTAATAGCCTTTCTTCTTCAAAGATGTGAAATGATTATCAATAATTGGGTTATGATAAAGGCTTGTTTTCATTAAAAAGTAGTGATTAACCATTATTATGGATGTAGTTAAGTACAACTTCCACTGGTTTGGCATATTCTTAATCAAGTGTTAATTTGTCATTGCACATAGGTATAGGCTTATATTATTATTTTGTTGATGTGGGTTTTAATTATCATCTTCAGTTGTAACTAGATAATAAATATAATGGATGTTATAATATCATTTGTAAGTTGTCCCACATCGTTCATACATGGAAAATAGACATACCTTATAAGTCTAATGGATTACTCCTCCTTCCACAAATTAGTTTTGAGATTGAACCTCATTTGGACTTAATATGGGCTTTCCCACTTATGGTGCGATTCATGTTAATTGGACCGCACCCGTTTTCCCTAATTTCTTTCAATGGAGAAGCATAAATTTTTATGTAAGATCCTGTTTATATCCACACATTACAATCCACCAACATTTCTTTTGCCATTGCATATAGATATAGGTTTTCTTTTGTCATTTCTTTTTACTACATAAACACATGAGATTAGAAAAAAAATGAGCAAATCAATTTTATATAAAAACAGGTGCATATTTTAAAAATGGATGTTACCTTATCCTTTTTTCTTTTTCTTTAACCACTTTTTCAATCATTTAGTGAATAAATTTTAATTTTTTCTAGTGTTTTTTGAACGATCTCATTTCCCACACAATTTTGGCAATATCCGTCATTATACTTTCAAAATAATATACTTACTATTACATAGAAAACTCGATCTTCAAAATGAAATTAGATTTTTGGTGGATAGTTCCGATAAGTTTTATTTGGTAAAAAACGCGTGAATATACCATTATAATATGTATTTTTGGTAACATTCTATTCGTGTTTTCGTCCAAAAAATATTTAATAAAATTTTAAAATATTTAACAAAATTTACAATTTAGGAGAAAATATTTTATTTTGAAACATCCATAACATATTTTTTATAACATTCAATTTAGGCAAATAGAATATTTAATTTTGAGTAAGAATAATTTCAATTCAAATAACGCATCAACGCAGTCTATAAAATTTGATATGAAAACGCATCAATACAACCAAAATATATAAAATTTGATATTTATTTTAGATGACAATATATCATTCCAATAATCACCATAGATTACTGCGAATATGAAAAAATATTATCAAATATTCTTATATATTACTTAATGAAAAATTTTAATCTATAAATATTTTTTACCTGTGCATCGCACATGATTCGTACTAGTCTAAATAAAATGACACTAAATAAAACTTTTTTTTAAATGAAAATAGGGCAGGTAAAATGAACTTATCCAACACTATCAAATTCTGGAGAATTATATGAAGTAAAATATTCACCTCATAATTTATTTTTTTATTTATTATTATTATTTTTTTGCACACACCTTATAATTTATTAAGTCAACACATATTTCTAACACCACTTATTATTTCATTTGAATTTTTTACTACACTATAAACTTTATTATATTTTCACCCCTACGACTACCCAATCACATAAACTTATTATATTTTCACCTATAAACTTATTATATTTGGGAAAAAACACTCAATTTATTAGACTAAACCAAACTACTTTGTACAGCTTTGTAGTCATCGCCCACAGTCGTTCATTTTAGCCTTTTCTTCCACTCCAAAAGCAATCTTTCGTTTTTCCTCGTCTTTTGGTTACCCGTGGCGACCTTCGTACCTTCTCGTTTTCATCTCCGTTCCCAAGTCTACTTCGCCGCACGGAAGATGGCTGCCGCCACTGGATCCGCCGTCGCAGCTTTCAAGCCCGCTGGTGTTTCCCATCGGAAAATCCCAAATTTCCGGAATGTGTCGGTCTTGCCGCCGTCGAAGCTCCCTGGGTTGCTAAATGTGCATTTTAGACCAACTAGATCCTTTTCTTCGTCGGGTACGTGAAGGCTTCCCATGAAATTGGTTCGCGTTTCATGTAATTTTTCAGTTTGATTTTTCTGGCTTAGTTTTGCTGTGTGAGCTCTTTGTCAGGTTAGGTGACTCCTTTATGTTAATCTTGATGTGGGTGTTATGGTTAACATCTTTATGGGTTGCTCAGTTTTTGAGGGATGTTGAAGATTGATTGTGATACTTTTGGGATATATTGAGATAAACCGTTGTATTTACAATTGTTGTGGTGTTATGTCAGCTTGCTTGGATTGTGGTACATTCATCTTAAATATGCTGCGTTATGAAACCACTAAAGGGGTTATCTACTTTGGATTGAAAATTATATGCTTTGATATAGTTTGCTCCATTCTTCTGATGTTGTGCTGTCCAGAATAAAATCCATTTTCTGTTTAGTTTCGATGTGTGAACTCGTTGTTGGGTTCAGTGACTCCTTCATGTTAATCGTGATGTGTGTTATGGTTAACACCTTTGTGGGTTGCTTACGAGGGATGTTGGAGATTGATTGTCATGTTTTGGAAAAGTTTGAGATAGTCGTTGTATTTACTATTGTTATGTTGTTATATCAGCTTGCTTTGATTGTGGTACATTTGACAAAATTAATGTAGTTGTAAATATGCTGTGTGATGAAACAACTAAAGGGGTTTGGATTGAAAAATGATATGCTTTGAAATAATTTGCTCTATTATTCTGATTTTGTGTTTTCATAATGTAATCCATTTTTAATACCCAAGTGTGTTTTTATCAGGACAAAATAGCATAGTAGAGTGAGTTTGATTTTTTTGACCTCATATTGAACAGTTTATTCATCTGTACTTTATCAAGAGCCATGTATGGTACTACTATATTGCATTACTCTAACCTTTGCTTAATTTTCGATGGTCTGATATTTTATGCTGATATTATTATTACTATTATTATTATGGGACTGTACATGCAGGCATAAAGGCTCAGGTTGCAACTGTTGAGCAAGTTAGTACTGAGGCGGCACAGAAAGTGGAAGCTCCTGTTGTAGTTGTGACTGGAGCATCCAGAGGAATCGGCAAGGCTGTTGCTTTGGCTATCGGAAAATCTGGCTGCAAGGTCAAAATGACCACAAGAAGCCAATTTCTTTTCTTTTCTATTCTTTTTTCCTGAAAAACTCGTTAAATTTACTATATATTATAGTTTTAAAGTTTAAATTGTACTAGAATTAACTAGCAATGTAGACACCAGTTATATTTTCTGTAATTTGTTCCTTTTTCCTTCTTTGGTATTAAAAAATCTGATATGCGAACTTCAGATGTTTCCTTCTGGACTCTTCCTAGCTGTTCTCGTGGGTCAAACCTAGTGACAATGATATGATTGGACACAAATTAAGTATATTTGATAACACAATTTTGCTGCTCTCGATTATAATGGAATCAGTGAATATGGAGTTCTATTTTGGTGTATGAAATATGCGATAATTGTGTGAATCATATGTGGGAGGAGAGGGAGAATTGTTTACTGTTACGACTGAGGAAACTGATTATGGCTTGATGATTGCAGGTTCTGGTTAATTATGCAAGGTCATCAAAAGAGGCAGAAGAAGTTTGCAAAGAGGTAAATGATATGGAAAAAGGAAAATACTTGAGCTATGACTAGAAGTAGTGTTTCTGGATTTCTCCCATTTTTTAATCTGAAGTTCGTTAAACAAATAACTGTAAACTGAATGAGTGGTCTAACTGTTTATATGAATAATTATTATTGTAAAAGACTGTCATGTTGGAGGTGGTTATATACACATGCGTGTGATTAATATGCTTGGTTGCTACTGTTCACTTACTCGAATAGTTGGATATGTTTTGTTGAAAATTTAAAATTTTCATGTCTGTCGAATTTGGTTTTTGGGTCTTTACATCTCTCGAATATTTTGTTCCCATCTTCCTATCATTATTGTATGCATTCAGTGACACTCAATACATTTTTGTGCTGTCAATCCATAGAAACTTGATTATAACCAAATTGATGTGGAAAGCATACTTTTCGCGAGAAATCCTATATTCTTTTGGTGACCTGTTTCTTGCAGATCGAGGCATCTGGTGGAGAGGCTATTACTTTTGGTGGTGATGTTTCAAAAGAAGCTGATGTGGATGCTATGATTAAAACTGTGAGGATTATCTCACTGTGTTAGTTTTCAGTTATACTCACTTCTGTTTGTTCTCCATATCATATGTTGTTGTGATATCTGCAGGCGGTGGACAAATGGGGAACAATAGATGTATTGATCAATAACGCAGGTAATATTTTAATTTCGTATTTGCAGATCTGGTTTGTGGTTTTGTTTTTTTCTCTGCAATATTTGGTATAACATCAGGTATTACAAGGGATGGTTTGTTGATGAGGATGAAGCCAGCTCAATGGCAGGAGGTCATTGATCTAAACCTTACTGGGGTTTTCTTATGTACACAGGTCAATTTCTTAAGCTTTTT